ACATTTTGCTTTCTATCAATCAAACTACCAGATATTGAACTATACACACAAATTAAGGTCACCATGCCCCAGATAGCTTCCCGGCCTTCTGAGGTGCATCATTGGGTTTGCGCCCCCGGTGCCAGCAGATGCTCTTGTAGACGAGCAGGCGACGGTGCACATATGTGCTCTGTGTATGCGAACAATGCCACCAGTTGCGGTGGATGGAAGCTCTCTGGTCGTCTGCCAGCATGCGGGGGAAAGGGGGTGGAGGGTGGACTGGCCGAAGCACAATGAAGGGTGTACCCAGACTCCCGGGGTCGGGGGTGGAGGTGGAGACGGTGCATAGGGAAGGAGGAGGCGGTGAAGCCAGGGGGGTGGTAAGTGGAGATAAAGCCAGACAGATGGGGCAGACAATGAGGCATGGACTCCCACCCTGCATGTCAACAACACCCCCCAGGCTCCTTCAAACTTTAACTATCCCTTTATCTCTCCCCATGTGCCAAAGTTTCTTTACATTCTCACTTTTGTGCCAGGTTTTTTAAAAAACTTTTTTTTAACCAACTCAATTTAAAAAAAAAAGCATAATAGTTTGCTATTAGTTCTATTTTTTGTCACAAGAACCTTTTGTTCACATTCTCCAAACAAATCAAACTTTCTTCCTTCTCCTGTTTGTTTACTGGCCCTCCTCCTTTTCCTCTTCCCCTCTTTATTGTTCACCGATATGATAAGGAGAAACCAAGATGCAGCTGCAAAGTGAGAACAGGGCGAGTGCGAGAAGGTAGTATAGATAGATATGGACAGACATAGCTGTCACCTGTTGTGCTGAAACCTCCTTGTTTGGAAAGCTGATCCCATCTCCTGTTTCTCAGGTTTCCACAAACAACCTCAGCTGTCGCAGAGTCACAGCGCTCTCTGTCTCCCTCCATCCATCTCTCATCCATCTCTCACGGCTCCCGATCACAAAGAAAGGTCGACTTTCATCAGTGTGCCAGGCCTCAGTGGCTTTGAACGCTTCCTTAGAGAATATTTTAGTTTAGACATCTGTGCAAATAAGGATAGAAGTTGCCAACAAACTAGGAACCTAAATCCTCACAATGATTTTAAGCCTTTTTTAAAATTATTTTCCAGTTGCGTAAACTAGAAACTTGTAGCAGGTAAAAGTAGAATACCGTGTGCTGATGAGATTCACAGTAAACAATGCTGAGATGAAAATGTGAGGTAATTAAAATAATGGACATACTGTAATAATCATTATAATCACTGTGATCCCTTGTGACAGTGGTGCAAAACACTGCAAAACACACCCACACCCATTTAGAGAAGCTGGTAAATGTACAAACGTCTCTGTACATGCAAACACAAACACAACAGCTATGACCATGTGAGCATGCAAATGTGGCTGCTTTGCAAATATGTATGGTGAACCATCTGTGGAAAGGTCACACTCTGTGGGATTCTTTGAGGATGAGGTGTAGAGGGGACAGGAAGCCCAGGGAGGCGTTCACACCCTCATTCCACACCAAGAGCCACTGATCCCAGCACAGAGAGAGGGTTGAGTTCTTTTCTTCAGAACTGTGACCTCTGACCTGCCAGTGGAGTCAGTGGAAAAAGTCACTGTATCAGTGTGTCACCAAAACAAAAAAGATAGACAAAGAAAGAGTGAAAAAAAGAGAAATATATACTCTTATATGTGAGTATATTTTAGCAATTGAGGAAAAAACTGAGGGTTAGAGCAGTGTGAATAAAAATATTTGTATATGGGACAAATCTTTGTGTATTTTCTTACTATTTCAGTGAATCTGTGAAAAGTAGAAAATAACTTTTAACTATATCCAAGCAATAATACGTTAAAGGTCCAGTGTGTAAGATTTAGATGAAAGGGATCGATTGGTTGTTTTCAGATTCCTGATCAAACTACATAAATATATATATATATATATAAGTTTAAGTCGTTCAAAGTGTTTGTTTCCTCTATTTATCGCCATAACAACTGGTTTTGCACCTCAGGCCTTAGCATGGTGTAACTTCTCTGCGCTGGGCGTGACTCATGTCCAGTCACATCCTGCTGACGCCTTTGGACAGGAACGGGGGTTATATTGCAGAGTATTGTGAAATACATAACAAGGTTTGACTATGTAGTTATGGAATATTTAGCAAACTACATTTAAAAAGTATATCTTGGATAAGAAGCGGGATTTCAGGGTTTGTATTTGTTTGTTTGTGGAAAATGTATATAAAACCTGTTCACCCAATTTGACTCAACTATATGTGCTTGGTGTTTTTGGAATGCAGAGCTTTCACATAGACAGGGTGTGTGTGATGCAACATCTGTATCCTGTACCATCTTATGTAACAGCAAGAATTTGATGGCGGTGACGTTTCCCGACGTACCCTGAAGTGGCCTCCTCAAAGCGACAGGTGTTGGTGTGTGTTGATAGGAGTGTGTATATGTGTGTGTATGCACAAGTGCTACTGTCGAACTCTCTTCATCTATTTTAGTGATTAACTGCCACAGAAATACTCACAAGTACTTTAGTGGTGAAACCAGGCTGACCATATATGGTGATTGTCTCTTGATCCATGTTTAGTAGAATCATATTTTAATTGTATTGTGTATATAGTGTTTGCAAATGGTCTGCAAATACTTTTAAAAATATACAGCTGTTCCATTTAAATCAACTTTTATACTTCCTCTGTTTAGAATGAACATATAAAATTAGTCTCTTGGCTAAAACCAAGAAATAGAAAATAAATTACTTTGCCATTCTGTAGAAACTTTGCCAAACCCGCTTAGTGACACAACTTTAGTTCCCCTAGTGTCTGTGTGATGACAGTTAATAGACTGTGTTAACCTGCAGTTAGTCACGTCCAAACAGTAATAGACAGTATATTACTTTAATATTTTACTCTATTGGTGTAAATGAGTATCTGCTTTTAATCCACCTGCCTTGGGGGTGGAGAGTTAAAGAAAATGCAGGTGAGACCTAAACCACTTCGTTCTCTGTCTGCTCCACTTTCCATTTGTTTCATTTTTTTGTGCTTCAGGAGACAGAGAACAATATTGTAAAACCTTTTATTGCGGCTGAGCGCGGAAAAATCTCATTATTACTGTAATAAAGATCAACGTTATTTCGGTGGTTGAATCAATATTTTGCAGCTGAGCGAGATGAGATGAGAAGTTGTGGAACTAGTTTGAACGTTGTTTCAGTGAGGTAGGAGCCCTGCAAATCAATTCTGACAGCGGAGCAGGACACTCCCTGGAATGGAAAAAAAGGTAAATGACCAGAGGGGACGAGACAAAAGGGAGAAGGTCTGTGTCTGTGTTTGCACATGTGAGTAAGAGAAGCTGCACTGACGTCACCCAGTGGTAATGAAAGATGAAATCTACAAAAGGACACACACACACAAATTCCTCCTCGTCCTTCCTCAGTAATCAAAACACTTCCCACTCCATAATCAAAAGTTAATGATCGTACTTGAGCGTTGGGTTTTCATGCAACTGATCCAATAATTCTGCAGCTTCTCCGCTCACTCCCTGCTGTCAGTGTGTATTTATGAAGCCATCACTTGTAATCACAGATCACCTATAATCACCGAGTGTTCGGTACACTGCCAAATCCCAGGGTGATTATCTGTCATTACAGCCTGAATTCAGGGACGAATCAGTGCATCGGCGCAGATACAGCAGCAGAGAGGTGGGGGTGACTGAGAGAGGGAGAGGCCCCGGCTGGTCAGTGAGGTCACGGAAACGTGCTTTTTTGAGTTGTTTATCGAGCAAAGTGATGCTTGGACGCTGGAGCTTTAGGTCAAAGTTCAAGAAGTCAGGGGAGCGGTGAGGAGGTATAAGCACATCCACCACACAGGCGCACATGCAAATGAAGTTTGTGGAGTTTCTGCTGTCTCAACGTGTACAGTCAGAGCTCCCAACAGATGCAGCATTGACTCAGTGAATGGTGACGGGGGCAGATGTGACTGAACAGGTGGGCCCTGCCTGCTAAAAGAGGATTAAGAAGTAAGACGTGTGTGTTCGTGTGTGTCCGCGTATCAATGGTAATGTGACCTTGTCCTGAGCCACAGCCTTGGCAGGAAAACTGTTTCTGCTAAAAAGAATTGGAGGAAGTACACAATACACTCCCCACAGACGCACACATACACAGTCATGTGGTGTGAGGGGATTATACACACACACACACACACACACAGGCTGAACACAAGCCATTCTACAGTTCTCGTTCTGCCTGTGACAACTCAAATCATCTTGCTTGTCAGTCAGAAACAGAACATATACACACACACAGACAAACACACACAGATTACAATTACATGTGAAAACTGCAGTTCCAATCATCTAAAGTAGGGCACCACAGCACCCGTCACTCAAAGGCGTCACACAGCAGGAGGCCGCTCACTGAAAAGTGCTGTGCAATTACTGGTAAATACTCAGCCACCACCGTTGTCCACCTCTTTCTTCCTGTGTGAAAAGCAGCTTCCAATTTCGTCTCCTTTTTTTAGCGTAAATTCACAGTTTAACTGTTGCGAAACTTTTTTCTTTTTAAATTACGACTTAATGGGGTTTGACTAAGACTTTATGCTCATAACATTATGACTTGAATTTTGTAAAACCACAAATCATTTCTCGTATTTATTTTTTTAATATTACTAAAATATTTTTGTTAAACTTTAATCCCGCAAAATTTAATGGACATAATAATATAACTGTTGTTAAACTTTATAATTACAACAGTGAAGAAATACGTCAGTCAACAACGATCACTTTCAGACCAATTAAAACCCAGAAAACCAACACAGGTGACCTGAATTAGCCAATGAGAGCAGAGCAGGCATTGACCTGTTGACCTTGTTACTTCCTGTTTGCTCGTCCGCGTTTTCTGTGGAAATTAGCTTCAGAGGGATTCGGGCAACACGTGGGAACAAGAGGAGCAACCCGCGGTGTCACTGACCGGGACCTCCAGAGGCTGAAGATGAGGAGGAGGAGGAGGAGGAGGAGGAGGACGTCGTGCACCTCCACCTGCCCGGCCCCGGCCCCGTGACAGCTAGCGAGCATGCTAACGTAGCAATTAAGCTAGTTAGCTGAGAGCTAATTTTTCCATGGCAGCAGTTGAGGACTCGAACCAAAGACCTTCACACTGAACCACAGCAGCTTTGTTTCCTCGTGAAGTCTTAATGGTAAGTGCTCGTATGTGTTTCCCTCTGCTTCACCTTGTTAAGGTTATATACTCAGTAACTGAGGTTCATTCTGACTCCTGTGTGTTGCTGCTGTCTGTGGCATGGTTGTGTGAAATCATACATTCAAAGAAGACTTGCCCACTAATTATATTTAATTATATTATATCATACAAGGGAAGGTTGTGGTTTAAAACTCTTCTTTATGATATACACTTAATAAACAGGTAAAACATTTTATAAATCTCCTCACTGTCTGTGCACTATGATATGAGTCAATATACATTGGACCTTTGTTTTGCTCCCATTGATGAACATTATCTTGCATATCTTTCATTTATATCCCACAACTCACCTTGCGGTGACGTTGTAACTGAACAGGTAGTGCATATGTGTGCGACTGCGTACATGTGTGCATATATGTGCTGGAGGTTTTGCACATGTTTAGTATTTTCTACAACTACAAGTTCCATTGTCACAGTTGTTTTTGCAGTAATACCTCCATAGCTCCAGCAAAAGAAAACCTCTGGCGCCTGAAATACCCGGAATGGGGATATGACTGGCTGTATTTACCATCACTGATGGATGAGCTATTAGATGTTCTGAAACTGGCCAATTTGTGACGGGTTTATTATGTTCAGAGATGAACAGTTTTTTTTTTTCATACAGCACCGGCGCCAGATTTGACTAAAACACTGAGTTTAATTATTATCCTGACAAAGGCAAACTCTGGAAAATGTCGGGACCCACTTTTCCAGACATAGTCCAGAGTTCATGTCTGAAAACAGCTCATGATTATTCTGCAGGTCAAAATCTTCACAATGAAATACCTCAGCATCAAATGTCTTTTCAACAACACTAGTGTTCACAGGCAGGATGTTTCCAGATGTCTATTACTAAAAGAAACTTTGAGAGGTTTATTTATCTGGATGGAAATTGAATGGTTACTGTTCATATACCATCAAATGTTCCATATTAGGAGAATTAAGGATGTGTAAAATATTAAGGACACTTAATAGCCCCTTTATTATATCTAATTACGAAGAATGAGAGGGTGAGAAGGAGAAGCAGATGTTGTTTTGTACCCTCATCTTCCCCACATCCACGCAGCTACTCATTTAGACCAATGACTCCACAGACAGAATGTTTTGATGGGCTTCACGTGAGCTTGAGGGTTTTTTTCCTCCCGTCCGACACGTCTCAGCTTTTCAGACTGTCAAAGAGAGAAAATAACAAAAGCAACAAAAGAGAAAAAGAAGAAATAGTGTGAGGGAGGATACCAGCACCTGCGTTTCTCTGCCTTTGGAAAGTAGCCCCTCCTACATACACGCACGCACGCACACACAGACACGCACACACAGACACGCACACACACNCACACACACACACACACACACACACACACACACACACACACACACACACACACACACACACACACACACACACACTCATTTCTGTGTAGAAAAGTGTTGCGTATTTCACCCTCATCACCATAGATACCCAGTAGAAGTTCTCCAAAGGGCCCTTGCAGCCCACAAAGTAGCCAAGGCCGCGCCATTCTGCGTAACCGCCGGCAACAATACACACACTTGTTTGGGCCGATCCGTTTTGTGGGACTCCCTTTGTTTATCAGGATGAGGAGAGCGAGGCGGAGTGAGGCAGGCTGAAGGGTGAGGGGGTAAGAGTGTGTGTGTGGGAGGGGGTTTTATTCTTGTTTTAGACACTTTCTCTGGGCAGCGTGGGCAAATTCAGAGGAGGCACATCTGAAGCTTCTCCACGAAGAGGCCGGGAGCAACAGCCCGCTGTGTCTGGATGTGTCTCTGCGGTGTCTGTACCTGTGTTGTGTTTGTTTGGGTTTAAACTCACAGCTTCCCTCCCTGTTCTTTTATTTTACTCCTTTTTTCTGCTATAACTCAAATCCCATGTCTCTCTCTCTCTCTTTGGCCTGACCTATAATCCCCCTATCCTTCAATACCCCACTGGCCCATTGTCCCAGACGCCACACACTGAATAACACACACACACACATGCACACACACAGCCCTGCAGCCTGCTCCATTGTCCTGCCACTGCTGGCCTAAGTCCTAATGCTGCCTTGGACTCATGCCCATGTAAACAAGCTGCCTGTGTGTGTGTCTGTCTTTCTGCCTGTCCGTCTGTCTCCCTGCACTCCTTCTGCATCTATTCACGTCACCAAGATTTTATTATGCTGCTCTCTACTCTCCCCCTCCTCCTCCTTCTCTTCTGTCTCCATGTCCGACTCCTCTCCCACTCCGCTCTCTCCCTGTCCATGCCTCTGTGCTCTCCAAGCTGGGCTGAGCAATTAGTTAATGTACCCTCCACCCTAGGGGTGATTCTGGCATGGCCGACCAGCCGAGTGCTTGGCTTCGTCTGCGAGTGTGTGTGTGGCGTTGGCACGGCCGCCGAGTGGGGTTTCTGGGCTAGCGGGGGCCTATCCAGAATGTTTTTGGCACTGGCAGCCTTTTGGACAGCCCTCACCTCTTCTCTCTCTACACATCCTCTCATCCATCGCAGGCCGACCTCTGTCCGAAGCTCGAGTAAACAGCCTTTTAATTACCACGGGGAAAAGACCCAAATGTCTCAGAGATCAATTCACTCCAATTTTTAGCCTTTACTTATTGATTGTACTGTGATGTTTGGCCCCTTTATAAAACATTGTTGCCCAGTCTCAATGACCATTCATTTATTCTTGGCTTCCAGTTGTTGTTCATTTGCTTGAGCAAATTCTTAGAATCTCAGTTAATTTAAAACAAACAGATGAATTTTGCATCTTCAGCTTTAAGAACCACAGTGTTGTGTTCACATTTGAGTCTCTGCTTTAATTCATGGCTTTTCAGCATGAATTTTTTTTATCTCGTTCCATTATTATTCACATAATGGAGTGTGTGTGAGATAGTGTGCGTTCAATTTAGATAATTTCATTGTATCTGTGTGGACTTCAGGCCCGGCTCTGTTTCTACTGTTTATTTGGCCACATATTAGTCCCTTTTATGAAAAAAAAAAACCAATCTATTCACAAATTCCAGTCAAGTCAACTCTCCGTGCCGCAGTTTAATCTCAGCCCCGTTCTCGCTGCCTTTCAAGTGACGTTTGGTCCTGCGAGGGTGTGAAAGGTCTGGCAGGCGCCTCGCTGGACACCTCTGTACTTTCTAAAGGCTTGAAGGACGCCCAGCATGCACATCCACTCGGTACAAACAACAAAGGGAAAGAGTGCGTCACAAATGGACACCAGCATGGACGAGATGGAGCTCTGCGTACTGCGGGGGACGAGTGGTAATGCCTGCGAGAGCGTCTGTTTGTGTGTGTGTGTGTGTGCACATGATTGATTGTCAGCTGCATCCCATTAACAGACAAGTGCATCTTATAGTTGTTGGATGCAGCCGATTCCATATATCTCCATCTTTGTGTAATACGAACACAAGTGAGGCCTGTGATGCCAAGTTGTGCCCTTGGCCTTCCCTCCTCCTACATGGGTGCAGGCTTTAACCTCGCTTTTTTTTTTTGTTGCATTGGCAGCATTAGGTCATGGCTGTGCACAATACATGTAGACAGCTAATGGCCAATGGCTAGGTCAAGTAGTGGGGTGCAGTTCTTGTGTGTGCGCATAATGATTAGCGCATGCACATTCGTCTGAAATGTAATGCAACCAAGCATAGCCAGAAGGACAAAAGACGAGACAGCAGCTCGACCTTTCACCTCCCTACCCCCATCCTCACACACACACACACACAAAGCAAAATGTTTACTTGCCGCTGCTCCTAATTCTTCCATTTCGTAAAAAAAAGATCAATCTGAATTTTCGTGGCCTGAAAACAGCGATGTGTGCTCCCGCTGCTCGCTGTGTAATTACATTTGTGCAGACAGACATTGGGATGATTCTGACAGGACAGAGTTATATTTATATATTTCTGTTGTTATTCTCCAGCCCCATAGAGATATGACCCACTTCCACTGCTCAGTCTGTACGTCTGTCAGACTGCTTACTGCTGTGGCAGCCTGTGCTCAACATATTTCCGTGTGTTTGTAGTTGTGCGTCCTTAAGGTAAAATCATAGATCGAGACGTCTCCTCCTGGATTTCTTTATTCACAGTTAAAATCTTCTAAATAGAACAATATTCAACAGTAAAAGCCCAACATCAGGTTATCATGCTCTTCCACATATTACATTTGCTGTATTATCCTCTACATGCTTTATTTTTGCATCAGAAAATGGAAGTAGCAGACAAAATGTTAACTTTTATCTCCTGTTGCAGACACTAGCACGACAACAAACAGAATAAATACTATGCAGGGGATTGCCAGTTTATGTGGCTTTATGTGTTTTGGAGTTCATTTGAATCATATTTGTAGATGTTGTACTGTTCCGTTGCAGCTGCATTGACCCTTTTTACCGGCCAGCTGTTTAAATTTTCATCTCATCTTTCATTGATTAATTTGATCCCATTCCATCTTGGATGTGAAGGTTTTACACACTCGTACGCATTAGCTCATTGTACATTATGTTTGCGATGGTGTTTGTGTGTCAGCGTCTACTTTGTGTGTTTCATACCGTCCTTATCTATCTATTATTTTCCTTCTAACAATCCCGTCCGGAGGTGGCATCTGCTTTGTTCCTGGAGGTGACAGAGAGGTAGCAGCAACCATGTGGGCCATCTCAGTGCCCACATGCCTGCTCCGAGGGCACACACACACACACACACACACACACACACACACACACTCCTGGCAGGACATACTCCCACACACTGAATGCCTCGTTACCTCACACACACACACATGCGTGCATGTACACACACACACACATACTGCAGTTGTACACTCATAAACAAACACTACTCCTTGTGCGGTGCCTCATCATCGACGCCGGAGCGTGAAGGGAACGAAAGGGTAGCAGGGGTAACGGTGTGTGCGCTGCCAAATCACCACATAATGGACTGTTCCTGGAACGTCCACCCTACCGACCATATGGGCTGAACACA